AAACACACATATTATAAAATATATGAAACACTTTTTTTGAGAAAGTGCCACCACTTTCAATGTTTCACAAAAACTTTTAATACGTAAAAACTACCCATTCATTAGTAAAATCAACCAATTTTCCTTCTTATTTAACACAATTTTTGATCATCTTGGTATGAACATTTAAAACGCCTACAATCTAGTCTTTAGTCATTTAGATTTTTTGATCACGCACAAAAATTGAGATTAAAAAAAAACGATCGGAAAATTCTGTGCTCTTTGCACAACAACCGGCTGCTAGTTTCATGAAAAAAAAACAAGACAATTTGTTAGGGTTTTGTTTATAATTTTGGTGCATTATGATAGCTTCAATTGGGGTGGGACGAAAAACAGTTCAAAAAATAAATTTCGGTAAACTTTTAAAGTGCAGTGAGTATGTGAAGATAATCTTTTTCTTCGCTTTTTTTAAAGCGAAGGAAAAAAAGCGATAAGCTAACGTTAATTTAATTTTGCAATAGAATGAACAACTGAATAAAATTTGAGCTAAATATTAAATATCCTGATATAAATCAATTTTTTTCTCATTAAATCCCGGAAAATTTATTTCTTATAGGTTTTACTCCGTTTAAATATTCCGTAAAAAATATTCCACGAGCACAAATATTCCGTGAAAAATTCCGTCATATAAATATAAAGGTTACCTCTAGGTTACCTGATGAAAAGTCATTTCGTAAAAAAACGGGGTTCAAGATTTCTGTCAATTAAAAACATATTTACTGGCTTTTTTATACATTGTACTTATTTGAGCAAAAGAATTGCAAAAATTTAGAAGCTGCTTTTTCGTATGTTGGAATGAACGATTTTGAGCAAATTTTTTCAATCTGATCAATTAACTCAAGTTAGCTGATTGTTCTTAATTGTTAATAAGACTGTTCTTATCAGAGCGAAGCCCTGAATATTCCGACTGTCTATTAAGGTCTATGGAGCAGTATTAATATGAAAAATTTAAATATATTAAAAAAAAAATGAAAGAAAAAACTAATTTTGAAATTTTTTGTGAAAATCATCCCCCCACACGTCATATGAAGTACAAAGTGGGGCCTAGGAAATTAGACGATAACCAAATTAGGCGGATGTTATAAAACCGAAATTAAACATTTTTTTACAGATTGGACATTTTAGACGTCACTGCTATGAAAAGGAAAAAGCCAACAAAATTTTCCTTAAGAGTTAAGTTTCACAAATACAAAAAGAGCATAAAAAGACAATACCTATCAAAACAATTAGTTTAAATGAACATAAAATGTCAAATCTGAAAATTACAGGAGAGTTTTGAGCTGAGTAAATTATGCATGATTGATATGTAATGTTTTTGGCCGCCGAAATTTAGCTGTTGCCTGCAAACAATTTTATTTTTCTCATGAATTTGTCTGCGAACAATTTTAATCTCTTTCACTTTTGTCTAGTTTCTCACAATTGCAGGTTTGCAAAATCGTCTAACTTCTTTTTAAGTGCCTCAGTCTAATTTGCTTATCGTCCAATTTCTAAACCCCGTACAAAGTGATAGTCTTCGCTACTATTAACAAAACAATTATGCAAATAAGCTTCCTCAACCAATTTGGAACAACTTCCAAGACGGATTAAATCTCCGCTTAAACTTAATATCGCGCGTTAATTGTCCCAAATTAGCCAAAATGGCAATCCTTAAACCCTCATAATTTATGAAAAATGATCACAGGTGGAATATCTTTTCAAACTTGAACTCAGGACAACAATACCTGTCGGCTGATATAAAAAGTTCCGTCAAAAATGCTTAGTTAAAAAGTCGAAATTTGTCTGAAGAAAAAAAAACCACCACGAGCTCAAGCACAATTATTCCGTTACTTTTGTTACGAAGTTGAAACAATAAAAAATGATTCGATTGTTTTCCAAATTGACTGAGATATTTCATAGTTGATCGAATTGTTTTGAACCATTCTAGTCATTTTTCATATTTTCAAGATTTTATTACACTTGCAATTAGCAATGGCGGTATTAATTGAGGCGAACATAACATAATATAATGTAATCATGGAAAAAACACTTGGTAAATCTAGTTTCCGCGTTTTTTTGATAAATTACTGAAAAACCCAAAATAACTTTCGAGAAAAAGGAAAAAAGAGAAAAAAAGCTTGACCGAAACGTTACTTTCAAACTTCAGCTTCTTGATAAAGGTTACCTCTTGATCATTGGTATAAAGGATGCTTTCAAAAAAACTCTTGTGATTCATTAGAAAGTATATGGAAAGTCAAAACGAGATGGTCAACAAATACAATTTGATTGTTTCGAAAAGACCTTTGTATTCAATTGATTTCTCTTGTTGACTTTGAATTTTTTTAAGATATTTTTTTCTCAAAAATAACAGATATATTTTTATCCTTAGTCACCAATTTTCCCAAAACTTTCTTGGCATTTTTCATTATATGTTCGAATTAATTATTTCAAACTCGACTAAAAAGATATAATCAAGCGATCAGGTGTCATCAGCAAATTAAACTATCATGTTTTTTATCATATAAACACGTTTGGCTCAACAAATTTTAATTTTACATGTTTTTTGATAATTCACTCAACAATCTGAAACAAAACTCTCCAAAAAATGCAAAATATTGACAAAAATTTAGTTTCAAAACTGAGCATCTTATTAAAAATCATTTTCAGCAACGTTCAAAGATATCGCAAAAAATGACGCTTTTAAAAATGCTGATCTGCTTGTTTAGAAATTACATGAAAAGTCACAGCATACCCATGCAAAACGCTCAAAAGAACTTATCCGAGTTTAATCAGTGTATAGCAAAAAAACTGGCTAGTTTCAAAACCGGTTAGCCCAATAAATGGTCAGATATCTACATTAGGCGGTTAACCGGTTGAATGTCAGATTTTCGAATTTCAGTTTTGTCTTCTTTTGGTGCTACTTCAAATCGTGAACGGAAATGGAGCTCCCTGGAGTTTTTGATTTCAGGGGTTCCAAACAATCGACCTTCACAGCAATGTGCTGAAAAAAGGTTACAATCTACTTCAAAGATTTATCTTCAGCTGTTGTGTTTGCTTTTTGAGATTTTCTTGAGCAATGACATAATTGATCGAATGTTTGCAGGTACTCATTTATTATTTAAAAATCTAACGATAATGGCTGAAACAATATGACTGAAATTATTAATTAAACATTAAACTTTCGGAAGCCATGCACAGCACAATTGTTGCATTAGCAGATTTAACTGAAAAACTGAGGTTAGTGCTATTTTTTTAATGAAAGTTTCAGGTTATGGCTTAGTTTCAACGTTTTTAACCTAAACTTGTTGTTGCAAAAGAAACATCGAAATTTGTTTTTTTTTTCAGAAAAATTCACAATCTTTGTGATGAAATTTTTAGAAGATAAAATTACTAATTTTTTTTGAATACCACTATTTTGAGCGTCTGATAATTGTACTCATTTCTGTAAAAAAAATAAATAAACTACATTGCGGTTCTTTTTGAAAAATCAGTTTAAAGAATTTGATACGGTATAGAGAATGCATTTCGTATAACAAACTTAAAACCTTGGAATTATTGCCGGTGGGATTTGAAAATAATTTTTTTAGTGAAACTTCATTTTTTTCCTTATTTAAAAACCGATTAATTTATTCATGATTTCGTTTGGTAAATTACTTTTTTGAATTATAAATAAAGTTGAACTCTTCGTTTTAATGCTGCTGGAAATTTTGACGTTTGTGAAAAAAAATGAGCCCCCAAATCTAGATATTGTTTTTTTTTTATTTGAATTTTGTTGATATTTTCCCAGTACATACGTCAAAATTTTTGAAAAAAAGGGAGAACATCAGAGATTTTTCTCGGTGTTTGTTTTTGACTCAATTAAACGTAGTATGCTGACCTCAAATGGGTAATACTTGGTAAACCTGTAGATTCTGCTGTACCTTCTCCGTGTTTTTCAAACTCTGATTAATTTGGAGATTTTTATTCTTTTTTTCTGCCTTCAAATTCTGTTTAATGATTTTAATGATGCAACTGATTAGTGTGGTCATGATAAAGTTTGATGAAGTTTCAACTTGTTTTAGTTTTTTAGAAATTGAAAATTTCTAAAGAAATTAAGATGAAATGAACGGCGCACAGACGATTCGACCAAAGACAATTCGGCCAAGTTGAAATTCAGACAATTCAGCCAGAAATATACAGACAATTCAGCCTGAGACAATTCGGTCAGTTTTACAAAACGCTAGATTCGAAAGAAAAAAAATCGGAATTGGAGATATTTCTCGGTTTAAGGTCGCCGTTGGGCGGCGATCACTATTATTGGCTGAATTGTCTGCATCTTTTTGGCTGAATTGTCTGAATTTCAAATCGGCTGAATTGTCTGGACGCGGAAATGAACATTTTCGTAGCTACTTGTTAAACTAATTTATTGTTATTAAAACCATTTTTACTTCTGTTGTATGTCTTCTCCAGATTTCGTTGCATTTTGTATAATTTGGTGTTTATGTTTTTCAGGAGAATTAAAACCTTTCTTTCTTTAAACGGGAAATGGAGGAGAGTTTTCCCAAGTGATGAAAAATTTAGTTTTGCATGTTCCTCGATCTGTGACTTATTATGGTTTTTACTTGAGTTTACTTTCATTCTGCAAACAAAGGGCGAATGAGACACCTTTATTAAATTCTGTGTAATTAATTGTTGATAAAAAAAATCACTGTAAATAAATAAAAACTTTTCAAGCAGCGTAAGGGAATCTCCAGAAAGCAGAATAAACTGAAAATTGAGTTTGCCTTCATGATAATCCAAAGCTCAAGATTTGTTCAATTGATCCTTGAATTGATAATTTCATCATTCAAACTGTGAAAATTCAAAATAAAAAAGAAAGTGAATTTGAATAAATTTGAGAATGGAAATTAGTAGAAAATCATGCTTTGATTTTATCGCAAGATTTTTTTGCTTCAGTATTTACTACTGCCTTCTTGGCTTTCAATCAAATCATAGTTACAGCGAAAGGATATCGAGAAAAAGAGATTTATGGAAATTCGGACAGTTGATATACCCCATCTACAAGGCCTACAGCTTTTTCACTTTCGATAACATATTCGGTGAGAATTCTTTGAGTTTTATTCCTTAAGATTTGGCCAATACTGAACCAATAGAAAAATGTTGCCCACAGCGCAATAGTGTTTCAGCTCAACTGATTATTCATATGTTGGTGAAGAAAAATTTAAGGCTTTGCACTTAAGAAAAATCAGTAAGAAAGCACACTAGCTTGCTTTTTAAGAACTAATTTTTTCACCTGAAAAATATGTCAAAAATATAAGTTCAGTCCCTGTTTAAAACAGCGCAAAATGTTTTTTGTTATAGAAGCTTGCTTCGGAAGTTGGAATATTTAGCAAGTTACCTTATGATTTGGACTTTAAGAGGTATTCGGAAGATTTGGCTTTTTGTAAGTACAAAAGTAACGGATTATTTTTGCTCGGGTTGAATTTTTCTTTTCTTCAGAGAAATGTTGACTTTTGAACTCGCGATTTTTGTTGGAAATTTTTATATCATTCAGTAGCTATTGGTGTTCTGAGCTTGAATTTGAAAAGATATTTTGCATGTGAACATTTTTTGCAAAGTTATGGGGCTTAAAAAAGATTGCTTTTTGGCCATTTTTGGACAATTAACGCGCAATATAACTTGGGCTATTAACGCGTAAGCGGAGACGTAATCAGTTTAGAAATTGTCCCAAATTGGTTTTAGGAAGCTTATTCGCCATTATTGATTTGTCACAAGCAGCAAAATCTATTGTTTTGTACTTCATATGGCGTGTGGGGGGATGATTTTCATAGAATTTTTAAAAGTTTTATATTATTTCAGTTTTTTTTTACGTTGTTTATGTTTTTACTGCTCCAAAAACCTTCAAGGCAGTCGGAACATTCAGGGTTTCGCCCTGATACGAGCATTCTTGTTTATTTTTCTGTCATATGATACAACATTGAAGCACAATATTTGGAAAAACAATTCAAAGTAAATTTAAGCAACAAGCAGGTAATCAAACTATGAGTTTTTTAATTAGTAGCTAGAAATCAATTTAATGCCTTTTAAGGTTTATGGAGCAGTAATAACAAAAAAAATTGAACTAAATAAAAATAAAATGAATTTTTTTTTCTAAAAGATGAAATTTTTTAGGAAAATCATCCCCCCACACGCCATATACAGTACAAAAGCATATATTTTGCTCCTTATAACAAATCAATTATGGCAAATAAGCTTCTTTCAACCAATTTGGAACGATCTCTAGGACGGGTTAAATCTCCCCTTATGCGTTATTAGCGCGAAATATATCGCGCGTTAACTGTCCCAAATTGGCTAAAATAGCAATCTTTTTTAAGCCCCCATAACTTTGCAAAAAATGTTCACATGTGAAATATATTTTCAAGTTCAAGCTTAGGACAAAAATAGCTTTTGAATGATATAAAAAAAAATCCGTCAAAAATGGCTAGTTAAAAAGACGAAATTTGTTTGCAGAAAAAAAACCCACCCCAGCACAAATATTCCGTTACTTTCGTATCGAAAGTGGGAACAATAACTGGCGGAATTTATGTACATTCAGTTAATTTTATTTTCAATCTTTTAATTGCCATGACTTTGGTTTAGATTGCTGCAAATACCAAATGCGTATGTATTGGCGACAGGGCATGAAAAAGGGTCTGTCTCCAGAGAACTACATAAAGAAATTGACGGATATGACAGAAAAAGGCAAACAGCTCAACTGGATCAAGGTAATATTGCAAAATTTTGCAAATTTTTGTCTATATGAAAATTATCGGCCCCCTAAGGCCCGAAAAAAATGGCATGGGTTTTATAATCTTTATATTTCCAGGGGGGAACTTAAGAGCCTATTCAGAGAGAGAGAGAGAGAGAGAGAGAAACCTTGTTTTTATAATTTTAATTTGATAATCGGTCAAAAAAAGCAGTGTTGGAATAAAAAGGTCAATTTTTCGTTTTTTTTAAACTAAAAGTTTTCTACATCTGTATGTATAGTAAAATCCTTGCTGGGAGTTCATGGTTTGCGTTTCAGTTCTTTTTTTTCGCATAATATCCCGAATTCACTTTCATACAAGAAAAAAGCCTATCATACATTTATGGAGTCTATGGAAAAACGCCTGACATACAATTTTCATAGAATAAAGTTGCATGACAAGCTTTTATTCAACCGATTGTTTTTTTTTCGAAAGTTATCTCAAATTGGATTAAAACTCAAACACCACCAATTGGTGGCAGCTTTGATTACATGAAAGCAACTTTGGCATCAAAAAAGTCTTTTAACGAAAAAACTTGTCCTGCAATTTCATATATAAAAATTGCCTGATATGCAATTTTCCATAAAAAACAAATAAGAGGGGAAAATTTTTAAGTTTTTTTTTAGTTGCAAACTTGCTTCTGTGCTCGAATATGCTTTTTCCGATGCATACAATTCTGTGTAAAAATGTTAACATTAATTTTCATGACAAAAACACCAAATGCAGTTTATCTGCATGGTAACTTCCAGTTACACACTGGGTTTTCTTATGACAGAAAAACCTTGGTTATTGTATTTTGAATGAAACACAAAACCTTATAACAAAAAGGTTTTGCTTTTCAGTTATGGAAAGAAAAACAGCTTGTCATAAAACGTGATAGTGTCTAAGCATTGCTAATCATACATTGTAAAAAACAAAAAGTTGCTTCTGCTATTTTTATAACATTTTTGAGATAAAACTTATGGCAAAAAAACATTCTCCTTGGATAAGCAGCGAGATAAGAGAGTGGTGGCGGTTAAGAAAACTTTTCAAAATTATTTTCCTGGATAAGCAATGAGATAAAGTAGAGGTGCTTAAGAGAACTTTCCGAACTTATCTTCTTAGATAAGCAGCGATATAAGGGAGTGGCGGTTGAGACAATTTTTCATACTTAATACCTTTCCATACTTTTCATTCTTGGATAATCATTGAGATATTCAAGTGGCACTTAAGAAAACTTTGCGATCTTATCTTCTTGGATAAGCAGCGAGATAAGGTAGTGGCGCTAATAAAAAACTTTCCAAACTTATCTTCTTGGATAAGCAGCGAGATATGGGAGTGGCACTTAGGAAAACTTCCCGAACTTATCTTCTTGGATAAGCAGTGAGATAAGGTTGTGGTGCTTAAGAAACCTTTCCGAACTTATCTTCTTGGATAAAAAGCGAGATAAAGGAGTTGCGCTTAATAAAATCTTTCGTACTCAATATTCTTGTATGAGCAGCGAGATAGAGGAAATACGCTTAAGATTTTTTCGAACTTGTCTTCCTAGATAAGCAGCGAAATATAAGACTGGCACTCAATCAAACTTTTCGAACTTATCTTGTTCGACAAGCAGTGAGATAGAGGAGTGGCGGTTAAGAAAACTTTTTGACCTAATATTCTTGAATGAGCAGCGAGATAGAGGAAATACGCTTAAGATTTTTTCGAACTTGTTTTCCTAGATAAGCAGCGAATTAAAGACTGGCACTCAATCAAACTTTTCAATCAGAGGAGTGGCGCTCACGAAAAATTTCCGATTTTAACTTCTTGAAAAGTACGCGCGGTAAGGGAGTGGAGCTAAAAAATATTTTTTCGAAATTATCACCTTGGATAAGCAGCAAGATAAGGTAGTGGCTTTTAAGAAATTTTATTTTGAATTGATCTTCTTGGATATGCAACGAGGTAAAGGCGTGGTGGTTAAGAAAAGCTTTCGATTTCATTTTCTTGGATAAGCAGCGAGTTAACAGAGTGGTGCTTAAGAAAACTTGTCAAATTTTCTTCTTCTATAAGCAGCAAGATAAAGGAGTGGCGGTTAAGAAAACTTTTAGAACTTATATTCTTGGATAATCAGCGAGATAAAGGAGTGGCGGTTAGAAAAATTCTTCGAACTTATTTTCATGGATAAGCAACGAGATAAATGAAAGGCGGTTGAGAAAATATTTTGAACTCACTTTCTTGGACAAGCAGCGAGATAAGGAATGGCGGTTAAGGAAACTTTTCGAACTATTTTCTTGGAAAAGCAACGAGATGAGGGAGTGGTTTTATCGAAAACTTTCCGAACTTATCTTCCTAGACAAGCAGCGAGATAAGGGACTGGAGCTCAGTCAAACTTTTCGAATTTATTTTCTTGGATAAGCAGCGAAATAAATGAGTGGCGGTTGAGGAAATTTTCCGAACTCACTTTCTTGGATAAGCAGCGAGATAAGGAATGGCGGTTAAGGAAATTTTTTGAACTAATTCTTGGATAAGCAACGAGATAAGGGAGTGGCTTATCGAAAACTTTCCGAACCTATCTTCCTAGACAAGCAGCGAGATAAAGGACTGGAGCTCAATCAAACTTTTCGAACTTATTTTCTTAGATAAGCAGCGGAATAAGGGAATGGCGATTAAGAAAACTTTCCGTATCTTATATTCTTGGATAAGCAGCAAGATAAGGGATGCCGCTTTAGAAAACTTTCAAAACTTATCTTCTAGGACAAGCAGCGAGATAAGAGTGTGGTGGTTAAGAAACATTTCGAACTCATTTTCTAAAATAAGCCGCAAGATAAGGGAGTGGCGCTGCAGAAAATTTTCCGAACTTATTTTTTTGGATAAACAGCGAGATAAAAAGAGTTGCGCTTAATAAAATCTTTCGAACTCAGTATTCTTGGATAAACAACAAAATAAGGAAATAAGGGAGTGGCAGTTAAGAAAACTTTTCGAACTAATAATCTTGAATGAGCAGCGAGATAGAGGAAAGACGCTTAAGATTTTTTTGAACTTGTCTTCCTAGATAAGGAGCGAAATAAAGACTGGCACTCAATCAAACTTTTCAATCAGAGGAGTGACGCTCAAGAAAATTAAGCGCGGTAGGGGAGTGGAGCTAGAGAATATTATTTTCGAAAATATCAACTTGGATAAGCAGCAACATGAGGCAGTGGCATTTAAGAAACTTTATTTCGATTGATCTTCTTGGATAATCAGCGAAATAAAGTAGTGGCGGCTTAGAAAACTTTTCGAACTAATATTCTTGAATGAGCAGCGAGATAGAGGAAAGTCGCTTAAGATTTTTTTTCGAATTTTTCTTCCGAGATAAGCAGCGAAAAAAAAGACTGGCACTCAATCAAACTTTCCGAACTTATCTTCTTGGATAAACAGCGAGATAAGAAAGTGGCTCTTCAGAAAACTTTGGATAAGCAGCGAGATAAGGGAGTGGCGGTTAAGGAAACTTTTCGAATTGATTTTCTTGGATAAGCTGCCAGATCAGGGAGCAGCGCTGTAAAAATTTTTCCGAATTTATTTTCATGGATAAACAGCGAGATAAGGGGTGGCGATAGGGAAAAATTTTGAAAAGATTTCTTGGATATGCTGCGAGATAAGGGAATGCGCTTATTAAAATTTTTCGAACTAATCTTCTTAGACAAGCAGTGAGATAAATGAAAAGGCGGTTTAAAAAACTTTTTGAACTTATTTTCACGGATAAGCAGCAAGATAAGAGAGTGGCGCCCAGTCAAACTTTTCGAACTTATCTTCTTGGATAAACAGCGAGATAATGGAATGGCGGTTAGGAAAACTTTCCGAACTTAGATTCTTGGATAAGCTGCAAGATAAGGGAGCGGGAGCGGCGCTTTAGAAAATTTTCCGAACTTACCTTCTCGGATAAGCAACAAGATAAGGGAGTGGTGGTTAAGAAAAGCTTTTGAACTCATTTTCTACTATAAGCATCAAGTTAAGGGAATGAGCTTTAAAAAATTTCGAACTAATCTTCTTAGACAAGCAGTGAGATAAAGGAAAGGTGGTTAACAAAACTTTTTGAACTTATTTTCATGGATAAGCAGCAAGATAAGGGAGTGGCGCTCAGTCAAAATTTTCGAACTTATCTTCTTGGATAAGCAGCGGGATATTGGAATGGCGGTTAGGAAAACTTTCCGGACTTAGATTCTTGGATAAGCCAGAAGATAAGGGAGCGGCGCTTTAGAAAATTTTCAGATCTTATCTTCAAGGACAAGCAGCGAGATAAGAGGGTCGTGGTTAAGAAAACGTTTCGAACTCATTTTCTAGAATAAGCAGCAAGATAAGGGAGTGGCACTTTAGAATTTTTTCCGAACTTATTTTCTTGGATAAGCAACGAGATAAGGGAGTGTTGTTTAAGAAAAGCTTTTGAACTCATTTTCTTGGATAAGCATCAAGTTAAGGGAGTGGTGCTTGAGAAAGTTTGTAGAACTTATTTTCGTGGACAAGCAACGAGATAAGAGGTTTGCTTAAATTTTTTTCCGAATTTATCTTCATGGATAAGCAGCGAGATAAGGGAGTGGCGGTTAAGGAATTTTTTCGAACTCTTTTTCTTGGATAAGCAACGAGATAAGGGAGTGTTGTTTAAGAAAAGCTTTTGAACTCATTTTCTTGGATAAGCATCAAGTTAAGGGAGTGGTGCTTGAGAAAGTTTGTAGAACTTATTTTCGTGGACAAGCAACGAGATAAGAGGTTTGCTTAAATTTTTTTCCGAATTTATCTTCATGGATAAGCAGCGAGATAAGGGAGTGGCGGTTAAGGAATTTTTTCGAACTCTTTTTCTTGAATAAGCTGCGAGATAAGGGAGCGGCGCTTTAGAGATTTTTCCGAACTTATCTTCATGGTTAAACAGCGAGATAAGGGAAGGGTGGTAGGGAAAGTTTTTGAAATGATTTCTTAGATAAGCTGCGAGATAAGGAAGGGAATGGCACTTAATGAAACTTTTCGAACTTATTTTCTTGGACAAACAGTGAGACGAGGGAGTGGCTCTTAAGAAAGTTTTCCGAATTTATATTCTTGAAAAACACACGCTATAAGGGAGTGAAGCATAAGAAAAAATTTCGAAGTAATCACCTTCGATAAGCAGCGAGAATAGCCAGTGACACTTAGGATTTTGTTTTAAATTTATCTTCTTGGCTAAGCAACAAGTTGAGAGAGTGATGGTTTAAAAAGCTTTCGAACTCTTTTTCTGGGATAAGCAGCGAGTTAACGGACTGGTGCCTAATGAAACTTGTAGAATTTATTTTCATGGATAAGCACCGAGATAAGATAGTGACGCTTCAGAAATTTTCCCGAATTAATCTTCATAGACAAGCAGCAAGATAAGGGTGTGGCGTTAAGGAAACTTTTCGAACTGATTTTCTAAAATAAGCTACGAGATAAGGGAGTGGCACTTTACAAAACTTTCGGAACGTATCTTCTTGGACAAGCAGCGAGATAAGAGAGTGGCGGTTAGGAAAACTTTTCAAAGTTATTTTCTTGGATAAGCAGTGAGATATCAGAGTGGCGCTCAAGAAAACTTTCCAAACTTATCTTTTTGGATAAGCAGCGAGATAAGGTGATGGCGCTTAAGAAAACTTTTCGAACTTAACTTCTTGGATAAGCAGCGAGATAAGGTAGTGGCGCTTAAGAAAACTTTTCGAACTTTTCGAAATCACTAGTTCTCCAGTTCTGCTCCTTTTTTGAAACTCTCTCTATTCTGTAGGCGGATTTCAACGAGACTTCTTGCCTGAATGTCATCAGCCAAGTGGGGTTTGGGCAAGGCGCTCTACGAATTGAGGGCAACTTCAGAAGATCCTTAGACTACCTTCTGGTGCTGCAGGAGAGCAAAGAAATGCATAAGTTCTCAAGCGGAGATATAAAACAAGTCCTAACTTTTTACTGGTTCAAGCTCAACGTCATTTGTATGGCAAAGCCCTGGATGTGTTACAGCTAGAAAACAAAACAAATTTTTTATATTCAGTTCTTTTTCTCAACACACACTTTTTATGGCTTTTCTGAGTTTTTTTAGCCCAGTAAAAAAAATAACTTAATGGTATTTTCTGCAGTTATCATTATGATTGAATGAAAATTCTAAATGAAAAAAATAAATGATAAAATTATACAATATAATGGCAACAATCTTTTCACAAGCCATAACCGTGTTTGATAATAAATCATTCCGTTTAGCATGGTGTTTAAAAATCAAATTATAGAAATTCAGCATTAAAACAGAAGGTACCAAACACTTTGATATTGCATAATTAAAAGTGTTTACTCTTACAAAAAACAAGGGGGTTGCAACCCGGTTACTAGATTTTCCCGTGCTTTTTTTTCACAGAATTCGCATATCCCTGATTTTTATTCATTGTTAATAGATTTTGTACATTTTTGTTTACCTTGTAATGTTCAGGTGACCTTGAATGATTTCGTACCAGAACTTTACCGATAGAACACTATAATGCGTTGCTATATGGTTGTTTCTTAATCGGGCCTATAAAGCTATATCATCAATTTTGACAATCCGTTCGATTTCGAATCAAAGAAAGTTTCGAATTCAGTGCATATGGCAAAAAGTAAAACCCATACTTAAGTTCAGCGGGTCCTGCCTGGAATTGTTTTTTTCTCTAAACTGAAAATACTATGCTTTTTCTGTTTCTAGTTTGCTTATTTTGTCTTTTATTTCTTGTAGCACAGAAGCTTTTCGGAGTGCTAGCATTCTTCTAATATTGAGAAGCCATTAGAAAAACCTCAAATGTGGAGATCATTGACTTGAAAAAAACATCTTCCTTACTGTTTTTCGTCAAGCGTTTTTCTGAAGTTTTAGTAAAGAATTTTTTTTCAAAATATAAAAAGTTGTTTGCCATGTTGATTCACTTGAAATTATTTTTTTCATAAATCAAGGTTTTCTTCAAACAAAATAGATTCTTTCAGCATGTGTGCATTCCTAGCGCCCATTCACAATGATTTTAACTCGTTGATAGAAATTGCAGATGCGTGAGAAGGCTTTATATAGGTGCTTTTTGTGTATCGGCTCGAAAAATGTCAGCTTATTAACTGTTCTTCAATTTTCTTCCCATACTACAATCTCATTCAACTGGTTTGGCCTGCGTTTAAACTTTATGCAAAATGAATTCAGAAAAACTTGAAAACTTTGATATATCCAGTCTTTTTTGACATTATTTTTTTTTCGAAGTTTTTGACTGTCTTTTATGGCGATTAATTTACCACGATTAGCTTACCACTATATTTGTTTTGGATCGCAGGTCGAGCAAGTTTCCAATTTAACTGTCAATCAGCTTATAATTTTAGATGCAGGGAACATGTTTGCCTACAAATAAATTCAACCATAGCTATTTTATCTAAAATGTCTTCTAAAAAATTGAAAACAAAAAGTTTTAAATTATTCATGTCGTAATCCCGTACTTTTCTAGTACCTGATTGATTAAACAGACTTGAAATTAGCATCACAAACAATGTGCTCATTTTTCAAGGGTACATCTTCAAACAAAGGTATAGAAAGCCACGTTTTAAAATTATCCGTTTTTAAATTACACGTTTTAAAATAAATAATGATTTTTATTCTTGCTTTCTTTTGCTGAAAATTTTAACTAGTCTGTGGTGCAGCACTGTTTTTGCCTCCACTGGTGAATACTTTTTTTGCTCGCAATTAGTTTTCGAGTTGCCAAAAATTTTTCCTGCGAGCTGATTCGAAATTCAGATGCATGCATTTTGTCAAGTTATAATAATGTATTTTTTATGATCATCTTGTATCCATCCTGCTGAAATTTTTTGCGGTATTTCAAATAAATATTTGAACGATACGCATTTTTGAATGACAGTTTTTTTGTAACACTTTGTTTGACCGATATAAAAGTTTTAAAAATCGAATTTTTAAGCCCTTACCCAGTAAATTTACCAAAACAGATCTAAAAAAATCTTTTTCAGATCTAAAGTTAAGATCTGAAATAAGTTGTGAAATGTTTAAACAACGCTTGGATACTTTGAGGGTTGATTAATTCACATCTAAATTCACATCTAATTTCTGAAATTTTGTTTTTCTTGGCTATCTCAGATCTGAAAAAATCTATTGAGGAAAATGTTTTTTACCGCTAGTTAATCTTAACATAATTGTGTATTGTAGAAAAATCAAAAAGAAATTAAATCTTTTGCTCGAAGTTCATAAACTATAATTTAACAAAGGTTTTCTCAGATCTGATTTCAGATGTGAAAATTTCTTTTTTAAAGTTATTTCAGATCTGAAGTTTTCCATTTCAGATTCAAATTTCAGATCCGAAAATTGTAAGTTCCTATCGAGACTTGAAATAAAGAATTTCAGATCAACTTAGGTAGGAAATAAAAAACTTCAGATCTTGCACAGAAAATCCCCTGGATACGGGAGGCAAAACGGTAATGAGTTTTTTGTTAAGACCCGCACTCCTTAATAGGGGTAGGATGATGTAGGTCAATACATCATGCTGTAGGTCAGACATTTAATTTCGCAATACATCAGAGAAATTTCGTAAAGGTAAATTTGGCGCCGCATTAAGATCATTTGAGCTGTGATTAAAACTGCAAAAAATGTCAAAACTTTTTTTGAGTATAGGTATCGAGAAAAATTGGTTTGAACTTTTTTTTTTTCAGACAAACTTTCAAGACTTTTTTCCATCTGGGGTTTCCAAAAAAATAATTGAGTATTATCATCCAATTCTAATGGGTAATCAAATAACTCAGCCTTTTTATCTTGAGCAGATTAAAGTTAGTAAATTAAAAATCCATCTTAGGATACTAACTTATGCTCAATTAATGATAGCTATTTGGTTGCTATGTTATGTTTTTTTTTTACAAATATTGGAATATAAATGAATACAATAAGCAGGGGCGGATCCAGGATTTTCTCGAGGGGGCGGATTTTCAAAAAATTTTCAAAAATTTTGTCAACTTTTTTTGAGGTCGACTGAATTGATTTTTTGAGCTCTCCCTAAGCACAATGTTGTTCCTGTTTTGCCCAAATTTTCAGCGCCGCAGGCAAAAATTTGAAAAAAAAGGTCCAAAAAAGGCGTTTTTAGGCACTTTTTGAAAAATTTTGACCAAAAAATCGCGTTTTTATTGGCGCCCGCTCCCCCCTCAAAATTAGTATATATGGGCGCCAAAGGCGCCTTTAGAAAAACTTTAGGGTCGGTCGGCCAAAAATGGATTTCTTAAAAAGTGTCAAAGGGGGGTAGAATCCCTTAGGGGGAAAAAGGCGTCCGCCAAACCCCCCCCCCCCCCCCCACCCAAATGCCCCCGCCCCTGGCAATAAGTGTTTATTGTATTCAGTTGAAGCTAAAATGTTTTTCTGATGTTTTTTTTCTGGCTTTCCAATAGTAATTTACCTGCTTGTGTTCTTTGAGATGGGTTTCCTATCACCTTGGGTTAAAACAAGCTGATTATGTCATAAAATCATTCAAACCATAAAAGTCCATCTCAAAGTGTGTTCTACTTGAGTACATTTTTTCTTAAATGCATATCAATTCAAAGTAAATCAATTGAATGTCAATTTAAAATTTTTTTTGAAAATTATTGGCATCTTTTCCAGTTCTCTCTAAAATTTTCTGCTTGCTGTTTTCTTTTGTGTGAACATTGAATTTTTTTCGTTTTTTTTAGATATTGAACAGAAGCGTTTTCAAAGGAAATACTTAAACAAACATAACTCTAGGAAGAGTAAAGAGCACTTTGTACACGGTTGTCTTCTATGAGTTGTTTTGATTGTCACATCCGTCACAATTGTTACACCAGCTATATTTGGTGGTTGTCGCATCAGCTACTGTGGTTGTCGCAACAGCTTCGATTGTCACATCCGTCACAATTCTTACACCAGCTATGGTTGGTGGTTGTCGCATCAGCTACTGTTATCGCATCAGCTTCAGTTGTCACATCTGCGACAGTTGTCGCATCAGCTACTGTTGTCGCATCAGCTTCGATTGTCATATCCGTCACAATTGTTGCAATAGCTATGGTTGTCGCATCAGCTACTGTTGTCGTATCAGCTTCGTTAGTGCATCTGCCACACTTTTCGCATCAGCTACGGGTTGTCGGATCAGTTACGATTAACGTTTCAGTTTTGACTGTCTTTTTGTTTTTTATCGACCCGGATCGGGATCCGCAACTAATTTTTCAACTTTGCGGGTCGCAGAAATGTTCACCCCTCGACCGAAAATCCATAATCTGGACGGAGTTTTAAGTCGTGGTCAAACTCAAGAAATACCGACCGTATCTCGGTCGCGATGGTCAAAAAATTAATCGCAGCGGTCAAAATTTAATCCTGGTCCAGAAGCGTTTTCAAAGGAAAGTAAATATTGAAACAAACATAGCTCTAGGAAGAGTGAAGAGCACTTTATACATGGTTGTTTTCTAGGAGTTGTTTTGATTGTCACATCCGTCACAATTGTTACACCAGCTATGGTTGCTGGTTGTCGCATCAGCTACTGTGGTTGTCGCAACAGCTTCGATTGTCACATCCGTCACAATTGTTACACCAGCTATGGTTGGTGGTTGTCGCATCAGCTACTGTTATCGCATCAGCTTCAGTTGTCACATCTGCGACAGTTGTCGCATCAGCTACTGTTGTCGCATCGGCTTTGCTTGTCACATATGTCACAATTATTGCACCAGCTTCGGTTAGCGCATCTGCCACATTTTTTGCATCAGCTACGTGTTGTCGGATCAGTTACGGTTTACGTTTCAGGTTTGACTGTCATTTTGTTTTTTTTTGTCGACCCGGATCGTGATCCGCAACTAACTTTTCAACTTTGCGGGTCGCTGAAATGTTAACCCCTCGACAGAAAGTCCATAATCTGGACAGAGTTTTAAGTCGTGGTCAAACTCTGGAAATACCGTATCTCGGTCGCGATGGTCAAAAATTTAATCGCAGTGGTCAAAATTTAATCCTGTTGGTCAAAAAATTAGTCAATGTGATCAAAAATTTAGTGGGATAGTCATAAAATTAGTCGCTTTGGTCAAAAAATTGGTCGCGGCGGTCGGAAACGTAAGCGCGGCTGTCAGAAAGCTAGTCCCAGCGGTCGAAAATTATTAGTGGTGCTCGAAAAGTTAGCCACGATGGTAGAAAATTAGTCGCGGCAGTCAAAATCTTAGTCGCGGCATTGTCTAAAGTTTGATTGCGGCATTTGCAAAATTAGTCGCGACGGTCGAACAATTAATTGCGGTGGTCGAAAAAAACTAGTCGTGGCATAAATTGGCTGAAGCGACGGCATGCAATTATTCAGTTAATGCGTTATGAAAATTACCAAAACTGGGGTTGACCTCTAGCGTTTATCTTTCAATTTCAAATTAATATTTCATGGTTTCAACATCTCACTATGGCACTGCATGAGACCAGTTAGCCAAAAAAAGGCTTATGAGCCAAAATTCTTTGAAAAACTGAATGAGCCCAATTTTTCATTTTCACAGTAT